ACAGTGTGAGAGACTAGACTGGTGGGACCGGCAAACTGCTCAAACCTTGGAAAGGAGCTGTATCAGTGGCCATTTTCAAGCAAAGCAAAATCGAGTGCCTTGGAGATTCCTGACATAAGTGAAGCTACCATGTGTACTGAGAAAGTTGCTGGAAGAAATGATTAGAGCATAATTCGACAGCATTAGAGTGTCAGAGTATAGCAGATGGCTTTGGGAGGAGCAGTTGTTTTCTGCTCATACTCAACCTAAACACCCTGGAAAACTATAGGGAAAGCTAGTAATAGGAGATATTGAATGTCATAGTTTGAGTCCAGTGTCTTCATAGCTGCTTATGAGCAAATCATGAAAATGTATATTACCATCAGAAATTAAGTAGGTGAACCGGTGGGTGGATTGTACTTGGAAAATGCTTGGTTCTTCAAATTAAGCAGAAGAATGTCCTGATAAAATTTAATGAGTGTAATTTTAGTGTAATTGGTGTCAGTATCAACAGATGCATGAGGTAGGGAGAAAAGGATGAGGCTCATAGAGGGAAAGTGTAGTTCATTTATTCTGGAAAAGCTACATTTAAGGGAAAAGCATCTTGGGGGAAAGATCATATATGTCCATGTGTGTAGGAGAGCTACAAATGCCCTGGCGAACCACACACTCGCTGAGCATGAGTCAATCGGGGACTCGTGTTAAAAAAAGGAATCTAGAAACACTTGAATTTTAGAAACTGGGGCAAAAAATAAACAAGTTTTTTTTTTCAGACTTGGGTAACACGGAAGAATTTAGCAACATATATTACTGCTTTGTGTGTATGATGTTGTGTGTGGGGTGACAGGGGGGCAAGCTTGGAGCCGGACTGTAGCATACTCCAATTCTCTTTGCACTTTGGTTTATCAGATGTCATGAATTGCAATCCCCTGAACATATACCCTGTGTTTCTTCACCATGAGCCCCCCTTCCCTGGGGGAGCAACAGATTCCTTGCCAACCTTTTGGAGCTGCTGAGTGAGTCCCACTCTCCGGCAATAAGAGGGAACTTGAGCTGTTAATAGAGTTAAAGTGATTTTTAAAAAACCTCCAGAGACTACAATAATCCCATTAACTTGGTATCCATCCTCTCTGCCCTTTCAGTTATTGATTCATCCCGGCAGACAGCTAGCTCCGAGTGGATGTGGGCGGAGCAGAGAAGGTGAGGTATCTCAGAGGGCCCATAGGCATGGCCTTGCTGTAACCTGCTCCTGATGGATCTTGAATGTGGAATCTTCAGAGCAAGGAGGATTGAATGAGATCATGTCTGGACAGTTCCCCAGATATTTGGAAAGTATTAAAATGGGTTTTACGCTTAAGCATCTACTAGAATAGAATTGCATAAACACTGTAAGGAACTGTAGACATTCGTGGACTTCTTTTACAAATATTTGAGGAAATTGAAGGCCAGAAGAAGTAAAAGTGACATCATAAGACAGTTATGAGCTTATAATCACAGATTAATGAAACGTGTGCTAAAGCCAATAGGTTACTCGAGACTGTGTCTTTAAGCAGAAATGAAATCTGTCTGTGCTTTATCAATATCAGGAAAATAGCCTCCAAGCCCTGTACGGAGTCCGGCAGGTATCACAGAGAGTTCATGAGTTGGGACTGAGCAGGACTGTGGCAAACTGGAGAATACACCTGTTCTGTTTAAAGGTGGCAGGTTATCTGCGTGTGGGAAGGCAGGCCAAGTATTGCTAGACCCGTTCATTTTCCAAGAAAAGTTAGAAATGGGTCAACTTTGTGTTGACCAAATAGAACATGTGGAATGGGCTCAATTTGGCCTGAGGAATGACCCTGCTCCCGGTGGCTACGTAGTACTATGGGCTGAGCATAAAGGAATTCATCTAACTCATGAATAGAAGCAGCCAAGTATAAGTTGTAGTCCCTACAGATTTTTCAAGATATTATTGTGGCTGATAGTGTCATTATCCAAGTAGTACACTTATCTCTTTCATTGTTCACTCACAAGGAAAGTTTTTAATGAGAAGTGGAAAAGGAAAGAGGCAGGGGGCCTGGAAGGAACCACCAACTGGCGATCTGCTTTTGCATAATCAAGAGTTGGCAGGTGGTGTGTGTAGACGAATGTGTCCTTTCTGGTACTTTCATGTCCATCTGGAAATTAACAAAGTGAAGATTCGTGCCAAGATCCAGACCTGAGACAGTGAAAAAAGAACATCAACAATTTCGGAACAAATGCCTCCCTGTGAATGGCTTTTTAAAAAGAGAAGCCCTCTAAATCTCTGTCTACAGAATTATTTTTTCCAGCAACCAACTGGGAGTATCCAAGGTTTAAGGAATAAGCTAAATGTTGAAAGCATCTCATTGTAGGATTATTGCAATGCTCTCTCTGTTTCTGCCTCCCCCACCCAGCCAGTCTGGTGTCAAAACAGCAGCCCAAAACATTCGTCACTCAGTTCATCTCTCTTTTAGACGCACAAGACTCCAGTGGCTAAATGCCTCTCAGTGTCCCAAAAGGCTTTAGATAGTCTGCTCCCGTCCAGCCTTCCCGTTACTCCCCTGACCTCCCCTCCTGCTACTCACCACGTGCTCACTCTGCCCAGCCACACTGGCCTCCTTGCTGTTCTAAAACCACTCTGGCGTGCTCCCTCCTAAGAGCCGTTGCTTTTGATTTTCTCTGCTTAGAAAATTCTTCCCCCAATACCCCAAGGCTACCCGTAGTGCCTTTCAGAGAAACCTTGCCTAGTGAAAATCGTCACACATGCCCCATTGCTTCCAGCACTCCCTAGCCTCATCTCTACTTTAATTTTTAAAAGTACTTGTCCCTAGTTTCTAACTATACATTTTCCTTTTGTTTCCCCTTTTCTCTAAGCTCCATGAGTGCAGGCATCTGTTTTTTTAGTTTTTAAAAATATGTTGTTATTGATTTTAGAGGGAGGGAGAGGGAGAGAGAAACATCAATGAGAGAGAAACATCCATCCAGCCACACCGCTGGGCAAACGCAGACGGTTTTGTCTGTTCTGTTCACTGTACATTTGTGCCTAAAACAGTGCCTAAAAACATAGTAAGTGGTTGACAACTATTTGTTAATAATTTTGAGGTTTTCCCCCCTTCTGTGCTAGGGATGGTGGTCTTTGTTGTGCTGGATAGATACACCTCTTGCTACTGAATATTGGTGTTTTTAGCATTTCCATTAATAGACTTTGCTTTCTATGCCAATTCTACTTCCTAAACATATTTTGAATTTTTTGCTTTTCTCCATCTCCAGGTCTTTTTCTTTGGTTAAAACCATCACAACTCCTTGCTTTCCCTGTCTACCCTTGTTCCCTCTACGTAGTATCACTCCACAGTCAGAATGATCTGTCTAAAATCTAAACCTGGTCATTTACCATTCATTCCCTGATTTAAAATCCTTCAGTGGTTTCCATTGTCCTTCATATAAAACTCAATATCCTTTCCTATCCCACAAGGCCAGACAAAGTCTGGTCCCAATCAGATTTTCTGTTGCTTTCCGACTCAGTTTCTTTGCTGCTCTTCCATTGTCCTTCATATAAAACTCAATATCCTTCCCTATCCCACAAGGCCAAAGTCTGGTCCCAATCAGATTTTCTGTTCCTTTCCGACTCAGTTTCTTTGCTGTTGCCTCATGTTGGAATACTCTTCTGTTCCCATTTTTCAACTGGTTGACATTCTCCCTCTTTTTTTTTTTAATTCTCACTTGAAAATATTTTTCTTTTCTTTCTTTTTTATTTTGCTGCAACGAGATTTATTTTTTTCATTTGGTCCAATGTATGGAGAGGGCTTCAGGGTGGTTAAAAGAATGGTTAGTAGTTTCAGGAAGAGGCTCAGATAAAAGCCAGACACCAGGGGATGTAGAGGGGCCTCTCACAAGTCGTGCTTGTGGTTGAGTCTTTTGAAGAGATACTCGCCCAGCCCAGCCTGGGGGCCAGCGGCCTGCGGAGGTGAGGCAGGTGTCACCCATCTTCTTGATGAGTTTCACCTCCTCACCCCGGAAGTGGTTCTCCAGGAAGTCACAGAGTTGAGGGTAGCATGGGTAGAACCCAGAGCCTGCCGCTCCAAAAGGGCCTGGTTCAGGTTCCTCTCCAAGGCCAGGGTGGCTGCCATGGGCCCTGAGTTTTTCCCACTCATCTTGGGAGGCTGCAGCACATCCTGGAAGAGAATGTGGCCACCACGCTTGTTTTGCCATTTCAGAGGCGCTCAGCACCCTCGGGCTTCTTCTTAGCCAATTCTCGGAAGAAGTGGCCCCCTGCCCTCGAGAGCCACATTGTCTCAGTAAAAATAGAAACCCAGAGAGCGGTAGGTGTGGGAGGCCCACAGATGCAGGTTGGCCAGGCCGTTGACCACAGCCTCCACGTAGGTGGAATAATTCTGACAAACTTGGGAGCTCATGGCTGTTCAGCAATAAGGAGTTAAGGTAGAAAAAAAAAAAACAGTGTGTGGCTGGTCCCAGAGGTGA